AAAAAAAGCACTTCACGCGTCATTCATACAAATTATGTGCCTGCTATTTTAACATCCATAAAAGAGCCATAAACGTGTGAGCCTTTCAGCTTACTTACATGAAAAATATCGTCTATTTGCCACCTTTTCTAAAATTTCATTTTGTCTAATTTTTTTAGGCAATCATTAACTTTGCATGCAGTATATTGTAGTTGAACATTTTTAGTTAGCTGGCGTGCCGAGCCAAGAGAGGCGTGCATTATGATTACACTGCTACTTTTTAGGCATCGCACAAAAAACTTTTAACGGATTTTGAGATTTGGATTTAAGATTGAAACCATTATGAACAGTCATTAGGTTGCATGCACAGATTATAAGTGCCACGACCGTAGTTAAAGTGAATAAAAAAAATAAAAGCTCAGGTTTGCTAAAAGCCATGGTCACTTAATAATTTTGTTGTAAGCCATCGAATCTTATTGGATCGATATCCTACTGGAAAACTGCTTAAACGATTTTAAAAAGGAAATATAATATAATCAACAGCAAAAATATATATTTGTCACTTCAATCATTATAAATAAATCACTCCGATGTATTGACCCCGCAAAAGGTCAATCAAAATAAATATTTGAATTCCTTTCCGATAACCTCGGCCAAGCTGTTCAAAAACAATTATGTTTTGCCGCCGCTCGGAAACCTCTAATTTATCAATTTTTATGATTTAATTAAACATGTTCCCAAGCTGATCGGATTAACCCTAAATGATTTATTTGAGCCGCCAAATTTTCAAACGTCTAGTGTGTAATGTACCACATAGTTATGATTACGGAAAAGTCTGTTATCCCTTTATACGACTTTCAGACTATTTTTAAGGATTTATGGCGATAAACATTAGATGATGGCTCTCCCGCACTGATGTGTAACGCATGTTTTCACATTGGTCCAAAAGCGATAGAAAAAGGGATAAATTTGAACAATTACCAGAATACAAGTCCAATTATATTCGCTCTTTCCAAATCGAAAGCATGTAGATAAAGGTTTTAATGATTGTTGAACTATGTAAAAGTACATTTTAAAACTTTGGAGAATTTGAGCAGACAGCAGTAAAAGGTATCTTTATTTATAGGCAATTAAATTATTAATAACGATTGTCCATCATTATAAGATCACAGCACTTTGATTCTGTTATTAAAATATTAAATTTGACCATCCAGACACTTGGCCTGAGTTCTCAACGGTTCATAAAATATCGAGGTATGAGCAGTAGTAAAGAGCTGTGTACATTTTTGCAACCAGAAGACTTGGTAATTTAGTCATTAACAATTTGGCTGGAATTAGAAAAAAACTGCTTGTCACCATTGGTTCTCTTTCATTTTATGCGTTTATTTATGATGAAAACATGTCTTAAATGTATCTAACTGAATAATTCCTGGACGTAGTTTTCGTGTGGATAGTAGTTCAACAACGGTAGTACCACCACACCCAGATAATACTTATTCTCTCATTTTATTCTCGGTATTGAATCACATTTCTTTGACGTGAAATTTCAGCATTGGGATGTATGCAGAGTTTTTTGAGAATGCCTGGGCATTGGAATTCAAAGCCCATTTAGGAAGAGTTGTTGGTAATTTTTGTACTAAAAGTTTTCCAAAATGATGGATAGATCGTGGTGGTTCCATTGCGTAGCCACCTCGATCGCCAGACCTGACCCCGTTGGATTTTGTGGTGTGCAGGCAGTGTGGAAACACTGCTTGAAATTGGAAAATCTTGAGAGCTGATGAGGAGAAAAAAATATATGAAATGCTACAATAGGGATCGAAAGGGACGACGCTGGATCAAATTATTTGCATAGGGAGATGGATTCATCACTAATAAACAAGTTTCTGAAACTCTGGAAGCTGAATCTAATTAATTTGTCTCCAAGTTTTATGTAGTAAAATTATGTATTTAAGTACTTTCTAAAATCGCTTTTGTTCGCAAAACTAAAATCTCAAGGATCAATTCTGTTCAGATACAAATTTAAAAAATTTAAAAGAATATTGGAAATTTCGCGGATCTGAAATCAATTGTATAAACACTAAATACACAGCAATATTTATCACATAACATCTCTTCGCACTGTCTTGCACTTGAATTACTCCGATATAAATTTTATTAGATCGAAAAACGGATCAGTCCAAACCAATCAGTTAAATATCGGGTGACTTTTATGGTCCGCATGTGTTTTATTTTCGAAATGTTGTTTCTGAACATACAAAATTATTCAGCCGCAACCTGTCAACACCTATGATGGGTCTACAATAAAATATATCTTCATAAAAGTTTAATTTCTTTGTCGAATGCACGGCTCGTAAAAAAACTTGAAACTATCAGTGCGTGCGTAA